GCAAATGAGCAAAGGGACTCAGTTCAAAGCCTCCGGGAGTGGTGGGGACCGTGGGACTAAAGCACATGCCCCTTCTAGAGGGCACCCCCTCACCAGCTTCAGCCCATTGTCGGAGGCATGAGGGAATATAGACTGACTATGGCAAGACATTCTAATTTTCCAAAATACATCAGATTTTTATGTGAACTCTCCAAATTTTAAAATGTGGACTGAATTGTTTGTTCCCAATCTCAAGCAGTCCAATAAAACATAGTATCATTCTAGACGTCCCGGCGGGACCAGCTTCATAATCTGCAGGGCCCAGGGCAAAATGATAGTGCGGGGCCCCAGGTTCAAATATGAGGAAGAATCTCAAGACAGCAACAACAGAGCAATAATCCAAGTGCAGGGCCCTTCGGAGCGCAGGCCCTGTATGACTGTCCAGGATGCACATCCTTGAAGCCAGCCCTGCCTCGCAGGTAGGCCCTTCCTAAATATTTGTTAAATCAAACAGAAGGCAGTGGGAAAGGAAAGAAAATGGACATGCATTTGGCCCCTTGATGTATCAGACACAGCTCTGTATAATAGCTAACACTTAGCAAGTGCTCACTACGGGCCAGGCACCGCGGGTATCAATGCATTTAAACCTCACAGCAGCACTGTATTATTATTCCTGCTTTCCAGATGAGGAAGTTGGGACTTAGGGAAGTGAAGTCATTTGGTTATCGCTAATACTTGACAGAATTGATCACAGGGGCAAATGTGAGGCAGAACAAATAGGGGGGAGGGAAAAATACAAGAGAGAGGGTGGGAGGGAAGGCAAGAGGAAAAGAAGCCACCACGAGCCTGTCTCCCAAGCTGGACTGCACTTAGGTCTCTGCCAAGACGGTGCGGAACCTGGGGAGGCCGCCGCACCCCAGATCACAGTGCCATCCTCCCCAGCTTGGCTCCTCTCCGGCGATCCAATTACTAAATGCAGCCGCATTCTTTAAAAATGTCTTTCCTCTTATGTAATGCAATAGTGACAAACGCCAAACAGATGGTGCTGTGACAAGCTTTTAAAAAGTTGATCGGGAGCTCATCTTTCACAATTAATGTATGGGCATTTAAATGAGCTTCAGCCAGCCACTGAACTCCACCAGGAATTCATACGGGACAAATCGCTTGACGGTTGGCCGTGCTCACCTCGTCTCCAGCCAGGGGTTGATGTGAACAGTGGTCATGCTGACTTGTGAGCAGCAGTCAGAAGATACCTGGTTTGGACAGAGTGAAGAAATGCCTTGGGCCTCTCAAAAGTCCAAAAAGCTAGAGGCTTCCTCAATCTATTACCAAGACTTTTTTTTTTCTTCAAACTTTAATGACGTCTTGGGGGAGCAGATCGTCTCTCTCTCCCAGAGGGAAACGAGTTACTCACAAACTATGTCAGATGCTGCCAGCATGCGATCTTCCCCACCCCCACCCTTCTTCCTCAGTGTTCAGGGATGAGATCATTCCATTTGGAGCCAATTATAGATGCAGAATGCTGGGGATGTGCAAAGAAACCTCCTCAGAGCCCTTCCCTCCCACCTCACAGGCTGTACCCTGCCTGGATGGGCAGGAACAGGAGGCTGCATGTCTGGTCCCAAGTTCAAACTCAGGGTGTGCGAAAGCTACACATTCCTAAGTCACAGCTTGGATCTGTCAAGCTAGGATGCTGGGCAGCTGGCTAGATGTAATCTTTTGGCCTCAAAAGTTCAGAGCTGGATGAGTCCAAGGAGATCATCGCTGTACAGAAGGGGGAAACTGGGGCTCAGAGGAGGGACGGGGCTGACTCAAGGTCACACAGCTAGCTGTGGGGGTAGCTCCTCCACCTCCCGAGAGGAGAACGTCTGTTGCCCAGCCCACTTCCTGCTGCTTGTGATACCAGCACTCTGAGTTTTCCCAGGGGAACTATCCCTTCCCTTTGGTCCACGTGATTCAAGTAGGACTGACCCCTCTCCCACCTCCAGGGGTGCATGACTCGCCCAGCCCCAGCCCATCAGAGCATTTCATTCCCCACTGCCTGACTGGTTCAGGGATGAGCATGGAAGATGAGCCTGGCCAATAAGCAGCAACCCCAGGACTTTAGCCAAGGCTAAGGCCATTGAAAATGAGAAACTCTCTTCCACTCGGTGATACTAAACTCGGAGGAAGAAAGCCTAGAGCTCCTGGTGGCCATCTATGCCACCACAAGACACCTGCCTAAGAAGGAAGCCAAACAGGAAAGCAGGGCCAAAAGAAAGTGATACAACAGCATTAATCATTAAACTCCTGGATCTAGCCATACCTGAAGGGAGATCTATACTGAATATTTTTAATTACATGTGTCAATAAGTTTCCATTTTTGCTAAAGTTGGTTGAGTTCTGTCACTCATCCCCCAAAGGGCCTTGACTTGAGGTGCTTTGGTGTGGGGCAAAGCTCCAGGAACGTCACACTGCATGCTCCACATCTCCAACTCCAACACATTTCTGAGCTTCTTTTTATTAGGATTGGTTGGATGGAGACACCTCCCCCTCCCCTGGCAGAGTCCCTGACTCTCTGCACAAGAGCCAGCCAAAGCCATGGGTAATGAGTCATATCCATTTCACCTGCCTTCACTAATCAAGGACCTGCGTGTCCTCCAAGGGCAAGTAGCCTGAACAATAAGACAGTTGCCCGGGTTGTTTTCCGGGAACTTGGAGTCAGCTTTGTCTCGTTCCAGCTGAGCTGGTTACAGCTGGACAGGACCACCAACCCTTCACCTGGGCATGAGTGAGTATTTCCTTGGTGACTTTTTGACATCAGAGGGTGGAAAATTCAACCCTTAGATTGTGCTAAGCGCCTTCATTTTTGAACGTGGGGAGGCCTGTAGCTTGCTTGCACCTGGGAAGAACAAAAATGACAGCATCTTTTCCCAATCAGCTTTCCCCAGGCCTCAGACCACCCTGCCGCTTTATTGGTTATCCCATAAATACCCCAGCCCCTCCTCGCCTTCGCCTTCGAGGAGGTAGGTTTTTCTCCTGTCTCCGCGCTTCCCTGCGAACCTCGCTGTCTCAGCGTTTCGGCAAAGTGAACCTGGTGCGGTAACACAGCACCACACTCCAGAAGGAGCACCCAAGGTAAATGTCCCATTTCTTGGTACCCGTGGCCCGGTGTCCCCACCACAGCCTCTGCCTCCCTGTTTGGTCAAGAGCACCGGCTTTGGTGTCCAGTTCAAACCCCAGCTCCAGTATTTCCTAATCATGACAACTTGTACAAGTCACTCGACTTTCCTGAGCCTTGGTTTCCTCTTCTGTAAATTGGGGGAAGACCAGCTACCTTACAGGGTCCCAGGGGGCTGATTTTCCAACAGTAGTTATGAGGGATTCCAAAAAAGATATGCTTCAGAGCCTGGGCAATTCAGGCACTCAGTCTTCTTGGGAAGACAGCAGCTAAACACAGAAAATGATTTCCACATAAAACGGCCTCCTGCAGCCAGAACAAGGACAAGGGCAGAGGCAGGAAAAGCCTGCTTCTAGGGAACCTGGCCTGGGTGTGAGTCCGGCAGCCCCCTCGCTGGCCTCTTGAGAGGCCGGCACCTCTTTCCCCGCCACTGCCCCAGCTCCTCGGGCCCCAGACCGACACACACAGGTGCTGCCGAGATGCTTGCCCAGTGACTCATTCACACTCCCAGAGAGGGGAACAGACAGTGATTCCCAGGAGTGCCCGGAGTCCTGATTTAGGAAGGAGGATTGAGCAGCAGCGACATGTGGGCCAGTCCCTGCCTAGCCCCAAGGACAGCGGAAAGACACACCCCTCCCCCACCCCCATCCTGGGAGCTGCTGGGCCCAGAGGCAGGGAGAGCTGGGCCGGCACACTTCCGCGAGGAGCAGGAGGGAGCCAGGGCTCCCGCACGCTTCTTTATTCACCATGGCCATGCTCCCCGAAGTGAGGGACTCGTAAATGAGATGGTTTTACATGAACCCGGGACAGGGCATTAAACAACTGAGAACAAGATGGATGTACCTTGAAAACATTATGCTAAGTGAAAGAAACCAGACCCTAAAGGCCATTTGTGTGATTCCATTTATATGAAATGTCCAGAATCGGCAAATCCATAGAAATACAAAGTAGATTTGTGGTTGATTAGGGCTGGAGGGGTCTGATGAATGGGGAGTAACTGCTAACAGAGGGGACAAGATTTCTTTTAGGGGGGATGGGAAATGTTCAAAAATTAGACAAAGTTATACGATCATACAAATATACTAAAAAAGACTGAATTGTACACATTGAGCTACTGGTATGGTATGTGAATTCGATCTCCAATAAAGGTGTTAAAACATATATTAATAATAGTTGACTCCCAAGGGGAGAAAATCCGCTCCCTTTCAAGTCCCTTGGAATTCCCTTCTAGTTTGTCAAGGACCTCGTCTCCGTTAGACACTAGTGTCTCCTCACTCTCTCTCCAACACGCACTAGTGTCTTGTTTGAACCAGGAGAGGACAGGCTTCATGCTCGGTTCCTTGGGCAATGAGACCTTGCCAGACTTGATTGGTCTCCTTTGTGGGTTTTTTTTTTCTGATTGCCTTCTAATTATGGCAACTGATTGTTCACCTATTCATTTCATTTATTCAACAAATATTTATTGAGCATTATTGCATGCTGGGCTCTCTTCCAGGCATGGGGTTACCTGAGAACAAGACAGACCAAAAACCTTACCTCATGGAGAAGATGTACCACTAGTGCAGAAAGTCTTAGCAGTAGGTGTAGCTCATGGGTTTCAAATCGCTGCTCTGCCACTCGCTAGCTGTGTGTCCTCAGGCAAGTGGCTTAACCTCTCTGTGCTTCAATTTCCTCACATGCAAAATGGGGATAACAACTGTACCTAACTCAGGATCCAATGAGTCAATATGTGTAAAGGGCCAGGACACTGCTTGGCACACTGTAGGTACTTAATAAATGTTTACTACTATTTATTTTCATCTCTAGTTGTGACTTTTTAAAAATGTCCTCTTTACACACATATATATTGAAGTTTCCTTTTAAAATAAATTTATTTAAGTAAAAAAAGGTGGGGGTGGAGAGTCCAAAAAAAGGGTACAAGCAAGGAAAACAGGGCAAAACATAGGAGTGTGTCTAGGAGATGAAATTTGGGAAGCCCTGACCTAGAGGGAGAGGGCAGTAGGGCTGTGACTCAGCTGGCACCCAGTGGAAATATAAAGCTATTTTCAGTGTCAGCATAAGGACAGGGCTTGTTCCTTCAGTCTCAAATTTGCAGATGTCTCCCTACTCCCTCATTCGGTGGGATCCCAAGCCCAGGGGGGTTCCCTACCACCCAGGGAGGCTTTGGGAAGAGGGGCCCTGGGAAGATAAGGGACAGCTGTGGCTAGATGAAGACGAGGCTGTGGACCTCGGGGCAGGAACAGTCACGGAGCTGCCCGAGCCTCTCCCAGGTCCCTCGGCACCGGGGGTGGCCGGCCGCTTGCCACAGCAACAGCTGGTGCCTGGAAGACATGGGGCTGGTTCAGTGGCGATGACTCTCCTAGGTGCCAGGGATATTTGCCTCAGGGGCCCCTTCTCCATGCAAAAATATTTTAAATCAGAGTTCAGCACTGTGTAGAGATAAATATAATCTGGGCTGGATTCAGTATCAGATTTTCATTGTTATCATATCAGTTTTTTTTTGCTTTCTGATTTTGAAAGAAGTTATAGCATTTTTGTGAACCCTGAAAGTAGATGGGCACTGGGCCCTGTGTTTACTGTGTCTGATGGAGAAGTTGGCCCTGGGCTGACCGCAGAACCGCTGACCCTAGAGGCCACACGGGGCAGTCCAGACTCAGCTCGTAGGGTCTGGTGAGGTGACACTCTTCCGTCCTTGCTGGGCACACCAGGAAAGTTACTTAACCTCCCTGTGCCCCTTTTCCCTTCTGTTAGGAAGCAACACAGTGCAGTGATTAAGAACACAGGTCCTGGAATTGGTGGTGGGTTCGTGAGCCAGCTTCTCGGAGCCTCTGGCTCCTCAGTAGAAAACAGATATCCATAATCTCCACCCCTCTGAAGCGCTGGGTTCTATGAGATGCTGTGTGCAGAGAAAGTAAAAATGATCATGATGCTAATAGCTAACCATTTCAGCAACAAGAACGAAGGAGCCAGTGCTACGAGGCAGCCACACAGATGAAACTTGCAAATTTCATGTCAAGCAAAAGAAGCCGAATTCCAAAAGGTACCTCCTGCATCATTTCATTTATGTGAAGCTTGAAAAAAAAAATTAGACTCTAGTGTTTAGGTATCTGCACTGAGGCGAGTAAAGCTATAAAGAAGACTGTACAATGAATGACCATGAAAGTCAGGATGGAGGTTTCCTCTGTGGGGAGGGGAGGGGCTGTGATAGGAGGGTATGTGGGGGTGCTGGGGGGCTAGTAAGGCTCCCTTCCTTTCCTCGGTGGTGACTACCCAGGTGTATCCTCTTTGCAAACATTTATTAAACTGTTCATATATGTTTTAGCCAATTCTCTATAGGTATAATTCAAATCTTTTAAAAATGCGAAATAACAATAATAGCAATCTTTGTGTTATTATCCTAAGCTTCTAAGCACAGTGCCTGGCACCTATTAGGCACTTTATGTATGATAGCATTTAGAGTTACCATGATTATTGCCATCCTCACTATTGAAAATGGAATTAATGTCCCTTGTCTCAAAAGGGCTTATGAGGCCTGAATGAGAGCTCATAGAGAAAGCACCCACTTGGTGCCCAGCACACAGTAGGTGCATGACTATGGTAGGTGTTCCTTCTGCTTGTGCCAAACTCAGAGACACTTCTCACGCTAAATAAACCTTCCTAAAATCCCCATCTGGCAGGCTAACCCTCCCTGGGCCCAGACCCTTTGCATGCCCGCCCTCACCAGCTGCCCATGGAAAGAATCTGGCTGGCAGCTCCTCTCCATCCTGGCTTTGATCCTCCGCCTCTGTCCAGTCCTGCCTGGTGAGCTCATGCCCTAGTCAGACCTTCCATCACCTGTTCTGTGAGCCTGGCCTGGCTGGGGTGGGAGCAGGGAGAGATGCCCCTCTCTGGCACAGCCCTGGCTCTGCTTTCCATTTCCTGTCCATGCCTAGTGGAGGCAGCGGTTCCTGTGGTCTTCATCTCAGCCTCATCAAAGTGCCATGTTCCTGGAGTATTTGCATCCAAAAAGAGAAGCTTCGGATTAATCTGAGTTTTAGGGCTAGAAAGGCTTATCTGAAGATGGATAGGTAAACTAAGTCTCTAATATGTGAGCATCTAGCCCAAAGAATGAATCTCTAATGGTGGAATCTCAGGTCTGGGACAGGTAAGTAGGGAAGAGTTGGAGGAAGACAGGCAAAGAGGGCCTCTCTAAAGTATCATAATACTGTCTGCCATTCATTAATTGGGCACCTACTGTGTGCCAGGCTCATCACATTTATTACATCTGGTTTCCACAAAGTACATATTATTGTGTCCATTGTATAGGTTAAACATGGCAATAGCAGCTTCCACTACTGAGCATCTACGAGAAGCCAGGTGCTCTCGTAGAGCAAAAGGCTCAGGATCCTTCCTGCAATCCAAGTAGTGTCCATTGTATAGGTTAAACATGGCAATAGCAGCTTCCACTACTGAGCATCTACGAGAAGCCAGGTGCTCTCGTAGAGCAAAGGGCTCAGGATCCTTCCTGCAATCCAAGTAGTGGGGACTGTCAGGGTCAGAAGGAGGGTTTGCCTAGAGTCACATACCTAGTAAGGGCCAGAAATGGGGCTTGAACCTGGATCTGTGTAGTCCCAGTGCATCTTGTTCATATACATCTGTCCCTAACACCCCATCTGGCATTCTCTGCTCTAGGTTTGCAGTGAGCGGGGCTGCTCACTTTTAGAAAGAAGGAAATTAACATCCTTGGGAAGGGGAGAACTCCCTGGACAGACCCCAGAGAGAGCTCTTGTTTCTACAGTTTAGTAATCCCTGCCCTGGAAAAGCACAGTCAGTGGGAAACAGTCTAGACTTGTCTTTAGAGCTTGGCCCAGGAGTCTGAGCTGTTTAGATCCAAAGCCCACTTCTGCCACTTGCTAGGTATGTGACCTTGGGCACCTCTTCATGAATTGGTCTCCTTATCTGGAAAGTGAGGATCCTGAAAGTGTCCACTTCAGGCTCTCGGAATGTTTCAGCAGTATACCGTGTGTCCACGTGTCCTCACTGTCCTCACCTCCATCTACGTTCCCCCCGACTCATTCCACACTGGCCTCATTAATGGCAGCATGCTCCCACCTCAGGGCCTTTGCACTTGCTGTTCCCTCTGCCTGGAACACCCTTCCCCCCAGACACCCACATGGCTGCCTCCCTCATTTCCTTCAGCTCTCTATTCAAATGTCACCTCCTCAGGGTCACCTTCCTTAAAAAATAACAATCCCTATAAATTCCCCCTGATTCTACTTTCTTTCCCTAACATTTAACTCCTGTCTGACAAATTATTGATTAACTTGCCTAACGTCTGCCTCCTCACAGCAGAATATGTCTCCATAAGAGATAGGACCACAGCTGCTTTGTTCACTGCATCTCCCAATGTCCGAAACATTGCCTGGCTCATGCTCAGTAGTAAGTGCTCAACAAATATTTATTGAATAAATGAATAAAGAAGAGAATGAACAAACATAAAAAACTTAGAATAATGCTTGGCACATATTAAGTACTCGGTAATTGTTAGCTACTATCATAATGCTAAGTACCTTCCAAGACACCTGCCATTGGGGGTGGAGTCTAGGGGGATGATATCAGCCAAATCTGGGTCAACTTCTGCTGTATGACCTTGACTAAGTCACAGTGCCTCTCTGAGCCTCAGTTTCCCCATCTATAAAATGAGGGGAACCAAACTAGGCTTGTAAGGTGTGAGGATTCAAAAATAATACCAGCTCCCTTGTCTTGAGTGCTTTCTAGATGCCAGAAGCTGTGCTAAGTCTTCCATTTGCACAATCTTGCTTCACTGTCATCATTACCCCATGGGGAGGACCTCTTATTATCTGCATTTTCGGATGAGGAAACTAGGGTTCAGAGAGGTTATTTGATCACCCAAGGTCACACAGCTAGAAGTGACAGGAATTGTTCCTCCTCTGGGACCAGAACCCTCCTGGTGCCTGCTCAGGATCCTGCTCCCGAAGCACCTCCATCTCTCAGGCAGCAAAGAAGCCACAGGCTCTGCTCTCACACTTCCCCATGCCCGAGTCCCAGTGCTTACCCTCCGGCCCCACCGCCATCCCCGTAGCAGCGCCGGCTCCTGGCATCCTGGGCAGGCCACTCACACCTCACACAAACCGTGTGGCCCTGGGTCAGATACCTCATCCACTGGGCATGGGGTGCCTTCACCTGCTGGCAGCTCCGTGGAATGGGCCCCAGCCGGAACTGGACACAGTACCTGCAGCCACATAGGAAGACACCACCCCGAACACCTGTGAGCATTTATGGAGCACCTACTGTGTACCTAGCCCTATGTAGACCCAGGCTGGTACAATTTCCCCCTGCTATGGAAACCTTTTGGGCAGCCTATTCTGCATCAACAGGTTGCACACAAGAGACTTGGCTCCTGTTTTAACAGTCTTGAGGGACTCTATGGGCTGGTCCTTCTTCTAAGCACCGTATCCCAAAGTCTGTATAGTTTACTTCTCGTCTGTCTCCCCCACCAGAATGTCAGCTCTACAAAGGTAGAAATTTTTATTGATTGTGTTCACTGCGTGTCCAACTCCTAAACTAGTACATGGCTCAGTAAAAAAATTGCTGAATGAATCATTTGGTCCAGTGGAATAGGGAAACGCTGCAAGGTAGATGCTGGCCCCAGTTTACAGATTAGAAAACTGAGGACCAGAAAGATAACTTGCCTAGAGTCACACAGCTAATAAGTGGTAGTCCCTAAAACGGAACCACCTAGTCCCAAAAAGCCTCAATAAGCACTCTGCTGCATTTTACAAAAGATTCTACTTTATAAAAAAAATTCACCGCAAGAATTACTTAAAAGGGAAGCTCCTCATTCTGTGGTATCTGAATTAAGACTCTATTTGCCAAAATTTTACTTCTACCCCACTTTTTCTACAAGGAGCAGTAGGAGATGCAGTTTGTCCAGGACCCCGGGGTGACTGTGTGAGGCTGCTGCCCCCTGGTGGCTGCAGCCTCTGAGAGGCTCAAGGAGTGGATGTTTTCTTTCAGGAACAGCCCTTTGGGCCAGTGGGGAGCCCCTTCCTGTCAGCAGCCCCCAGAACTCCTCAGGAATCTGTCCCTCACCAGAAGCCTGTGATAACTGGAACTTTTGTCTTCCCAACATGCTTTCTTTGGGTGCTTTATTCGGAGAACTCTTGTCCTCACCCTACGTGGTCTTGCGGGAGCAATCAGTCCAGGTGCCTGGCCCTGGCTCCCCACACTGGCCCCTAGAGTGGGCGGGTGTCTGAAGTTGACCAATCAAGGGGGTCCCATCCACTGGGCCTGACGGCCTGGGATCCAAGCAGGACCAGAGTCTCCTCTAGAAATGACACAATGAGACTTGGAGGACTCCTTTAGCTGGTGTTGCTAAGCTGGGAAGACTGGGAGCTGCAGGTGAGCATCTTGGTCACTACATGGAAAGAGGCTGCCTGAGAATGAAGCCAATATATGGGGCAAGGGGGAGAGGGAGAGAAGGAGAAAGGGAGAGGGAGTTCTCATAATATTATTTGACCCTGTGGCTCCAGTCATACTTGAAGTAATGCTATTTCAAACTCTCCCTCTCAGTTGTATAGACCAACAATTCTTTTCACTTGAGCCAGTTTGAGCTGAATTTCCGTCACTTGCAGTGAAAGGAATCCTCTCCTCTCCACCTCCGTTACTACTGCCTTAGCTCAGATCTTATGCTTTCAATTGATATTTGAGTATCCACCAGGTGCCAGGCACTGTCCCGCAAGCTTGGCATCATCAGCCGTCTGACTCCAGTCCCTGAAACCCACCCCTCAAAGGAGCAGGTCTACCCCCCTGGTCCAAACCACCTTCATTTCTCATGAGGACCATAACAGTAGCCTTCCCATTGGTCTCCCTGATTCCTTCCTTGCCTCTCTGCAATCGATTCTCCGAATAACATCCAGAGATCCTGTGAAAACCTAAGTCACAGCATGTCACTCCTCTGCCCAAAGCCCTCCCATGACTCCCATCTCATACAAAGAAAGTACCCAACTTTCCACCACGGCCTATAGACTCTGTGTGATCTGACCCCCTTCCTCAGTATATATTTCCTACTCTCTCAGTCTCCCTGAATTCCAGCCTGAACTGCTTGCTGATCCTGAACACACCAGGCATGACCTCCCTGCCTCAGGGCCTTTGCACTTGCTAATCCCTCTCCCAATCATGCTCTTCACCCAGATAACCTCCTTGATATCTTAGTTCAAAGATCACCTTCTCAATAAGGATGTCCCTGATGCACCCACCCCTTCCCTGCTTTACTTTTCTCCATAGCATTTAGCACCATCTGACATGCTGTTTATTGTCTGCCTCCTCTGACTAGACCGTCCACTCCATGAGGACAAGTATTTCTGTCCTTTTTTGTTTCTTGCTGTAGCCCCAAGGTCTGACACAGTACCTGTCATATAAACAAACATTGAGTGAATGAGTGAGTGAAGCTGAGTAGACACCAACTATTAAAGGATTCAAAGTCTACATTCATGAGCTTACAATGTAACAGGAAAGGAGATGGGGAGAAGCTATCAAAGTAAGAGAGACACGATCAAAGTTTCATCCAAGGAAAAATGTTCACAGATTTGAGTTTGACTCCGAGTTCATTTGCTTCCACTTACCCTACTGTCTTCTGATCCTTGGGGGCACCTCGCTTTTCCCTCTCGTTGCCATAGTTGCCTGTGGTTATCAGAGCAGGGACTGTGGGCCAAGGAGAAAACAGAGTTAGGTATCCTAGCAACCCCCACAGACTGTGACACCACAGGAAGCAGAATTAGGTACTCCCAGTGTCCGGGTCACTTGTATGGCAGCCCCAAGGAGGCTGGGAGATCTTGTAACTGGGCAGATGGTCCCCACAAGGACCATTTATGCAATGCTGGAGGCAGGATCATATCTATCTCTGAGAGTTAGGGCTTAGCACAGTGGTTGTATAGTGGGTCTCAATAAAAAGTTCTTCAAATGGATGAATAGTGAGTGAAAAAAATAAATGAGTTAATAACTGATGAATGGATGGGTGGGTGGCTGAAATGTAAGAAAGGAAGAATGGATGGGTGATGGTAAATAAATGGAAAGATGGGAGGTTGAAAAAAAGGAAAGACAGATGATTGAGAAAAGAGATGATGGATGGAAAGGATGGATGGAGAGATGACAGGTGGATGGATGATGGAATAAAAGAAACAGGAAGATAGATGACTGAATGGGTGGGAAGATGTAAGGTTGGAGGAAAGGGGTTTCAGAGGTATGGATGGATAAATGAATTAAGAGAATTATCTTGTTGGGCTAACTTCCAAGTCTCTTCCTTCCTAGAGCAGACAGAGGAGAACACAAAAGAACTGAGAGTCCATAAAAGGCTGGTGATTCCTTAGGAGAAAAAAAATGCCAAAGGAAGTCCAACCCCTCCCCATTCCCTGAGTGATGGAGCTGAATCCAAGAAATGGTATTGAACTAATTAATGCTTGTGACCTAGAGAAGGGTCACACCAGGGCATCCCAGGCCCCTCTCCCTCCTGCTGCCATAAAGACTGGGCTTGGTCTTTGCCAAACACACTTAATTCACAACCTCCCTTCTCTCTTCTCTTCCAACAACCAGTGCTGCTTTTGGTGTAGCCTAGAGCAGTGAGCAGAGCCCCAGAAAAGCCCAGGTTCTGGTTCTAGCTCTTCCTCTTATAGCTGAGTGATCTTGATCCTCTCTGAGCCTCAGTCTCCTAATCAGAAAAATGGGTATAACACCAGAACTTATATCATACAATTATTGTCAGAGTGAAACAAAATGATATGCAATGAGCCACGTATCTTGGGTAAGTTTTGTGCCTCCCTGAGCCTTGGTTTCCCCTTCTGTAAAATTGGTATAGTAACACTGGCCTCGCAGAGTCAAGTAATGTGGCAAAGTGCATTGCAGATAGTAGGGGCAATCAGGAGAATCTTCCTGGAGATAACTGACATCTACGCAGGAAATGATGAACCAGGCAAGTTAGATGTGGGTGGCAGGGGAGAGGGAGAAGGATTTCAGGTGCAGAAAATGACTTTCCTTCTTTCGTCACCCCGTTGCCACCACCCTGGTCCAGACACCATCCTCTCTTGCATGCACCACTGTAGTTACCTCTTCCCTGGCCTCCCCGCTGCCCTCTGACCCGTCAGTCTGCTGTCCCAACAGCAGTCAGAATGGTCCTTTAAAACACAGGCAGAAGAAGCAAGGAGATGAGGTCATAGGAGGCCAAAGCCAGAACACATTGAAAGCAGTGGGTAGATACTGGAAAATTTAAAGCAGGAGGGTGACACCATGGTAAGATCTGAGCTGTAGAATGACCTCCCTCCCTGTCAGGCTGTAGCATGGGGACAGATTGAAAGGGGGCAATTTGGCCCTGCTGCCTGCCCTCCTACCCCTTCACTTTCTTTGTCAATTTCTTCAGCTATAAAATGGGCATCACCTATTTTTCACAGTGACATAAAAATCCTTTGTCAGGACATGCAATATAGCCAAAATCTGTTGTTTGGCCTATCCTGCATCCATTCTCCCCAGTTTTCCTCTGGAGAGCCCCCCTCCCTTACTCTCATTCAGACAAGGCTGGGCCACCCCTCCAGCTTCAAAGGGAGCACGTGCCCCAGGACCGGCCAGAGCACTGCATCTCTCCAGCTGTGCTGATTGGTTCGGCAGTGGACGTCTGACCCAAGACAAGCCAACAGGACTTCATCCTAGGACATTTGCGGAAACGAAGGGAAAAGAGGCATTTTCTTCCAGCCTGGAGTTATCAAAGATCATTGCAGGAGGGAAGCCTGTCTGAGAATGAGGCCAACTCAGAGGAAAACAGAGCTGAGAAAAGGAGAGAGATTTCTGGCAACATTGCTTAAACTTCTGGATCCAGCCAAGCCTGAACGCAAAACCTGGAATTTTGGTTACATGAGTTACATATTTTTGCTCAGATCAGTTTAAGTTAGGTTTCCTATCATCTTCATTTAAACAAAGCCCTAATGCACACTGGGAGATGAGTAGAAAGAAGACACTGAGATGCCCAGAGGAAGTGACAGCTCATTCACAAGGTGAGGAGGGGGATCAGAGCAAAGAAAGACAAAGCTCCACCATAAACTCAGACCCCACACAGGAACCTGTGGAGGGCCTTGCAGTCCAGCCAGGCCGTTGCTACTGACAGCCACCCCCAGAGCCACCCCAACTCACGCAATGACTGCTGGCACTCCGCTCCCTGGCGGCTCCAGTACTCCATGCAGCCAGCCCGCTCTTCCAGCGGGGGACAGGGGGCGCCCCCATTCTTTGGCTCCTGCAGCACACGCCTCTGGCGGACACGATAGGAGACCTGGCAGGGCTTGGCACAGCGACTCCAGCCACTCCACTCTGCCACAGCGCAGGGGACCGCTAGAAGAGAAGGCAGCACCTCCGAGGGCAATGTCTGTGGAATCCGGCCAGCAGCCGGGTCTACTCCACCTTCTCCACAAGCCCAACCCCACAAAACACCACACCGAGCACTAGACTCTTGCAAACCTGGATCCACGCCTTCCTTAAAAGCTTCTCTATGGCAACTGTTTATACAGCTACCTGAACTTAGAATTCCCTGTTTTATTTACCCATCACCCTGTTGGGGATCATTCCAGTGGTTTCCATCACTCATTCAGTATTTGCGAATTCGTCTATTTGCTAAAAATTTTTTGTAACCCCAAACCAATATTGGAGGTGCTTCTGCAGTTATGCACAGACACACACACAGAACAGCAAAGTTTTTGAGTGCACAGCCTCAGCTGAGGTCAAACAAGGTGCCGACCTGCCTTCTTGGAAGGAGGCCGCAGGCGGCAGCGTGGGACGGGCCGAGGAGCTGCGGCTCTGGGACCAGGCGGACAGGGTGTGAACTCTGGCACCTGTTAGTGGGGCAGCCTTGGGCTGGTCACTTAGCACCTCTGAATCTCGTTTCTCTCTTTTGTAAAATAAAATAGGATCTACCAGATGGAACTGTTTTCAGGATTTAAGATTATAATCTTTGTGAGACATGTTTGTACATATTTCCCCCAGGAGCAATGGTTCTGTATTCATCAATTCAGTGTTTGTGGGCATTTTATAGAATATAACTACCAACAGTCATGAGAATTGACTATATATGTTGAATATATATACATATATATGTATCTGCAGAAATTATAAATAACAAATTCAGTATAGCAGTTACCTCTGAGGAGAAAGGGAAGGAATGCAGAAGTGATATTCACCAAGGCTTATATCTTGGCTTTCCATGAGGGTTTGTTTTATTATTCTCTCTATATTGGGGTGTGTCTGAAATATTTCATAATAAGAGAAGGAGGTTGCTGGGGGTCCAAGTCCTTGAGATGCTCCCTGTACCTACCACAGTCAGGGGCCCAGTGAGTAGGTATTTTCTGATGATGTGGCCTTTGAGACCTTCAGCTTCTTCATCCAAGTCCACAGTTCCAGTCCAGGACTGGACCAAACCAGACAGGGGAGGCTGACTGGCCAAAGCACAGCATCTTCGGACTTTCTCTTGGATGCTCCAGCCAGCAAGCCTTGACAGTCACACACATGTGCGCGCACACACACACACAGACACAGAGATATACACATGCATGCATGCACGTACAGCATCACTACTGTCAGAATTAGTTCTCTTATTCCACAAATATTTACCGAGCCTCTCCTGTGAGTCAGGCACTGTCCTAGGTGCAGGAGACACCGTGGTGAAGAAAGACCAGGTCTGTCCTCATGAAAAACATTCACCAGCTATGAGACATGTCCTAGTTCAACAACTTGAAAATGTGAAGAAAAAAAGTGTCCCTCCTTGAATTGAGGGAAGGAAGTGAATGTGTTGTAAAAACAGATAGTGTTGCTCCTGGCACCTCGGGAAGTCACATACTCCTTGCATGAAACTCAACTCTTGACAGAGTTGAAATGCACAGCAGGAGGGAGGGAGGAGATAAAGGAAGACAGCCTAACAGTCATCTGTTGCTTTCAACATCCACCTAATAAGGACATCAATATTTCACTGCTGCTGGACCAGGCAAGCCACGTACCAGACCTCACGTAATCCTCACAGCAACCTTAGCATCCTTCTCTGCGCCCTGTGCCCCCTGGGGAAGCCTGTGTATCACAGAGACTCCCTGGCCCTCTGGCTGCCAGTTGAGTTCACCCAGTGGGAGACACTGGCAGGGAGGAGAGTGCAGCCCAGGTGTTTACTGCCCCCCACCCCATCTGCCTCACTCACATGGGGGGACCCTCAGCCATGGATCCTGCCCTCACCAGCCTCCTATAACACCGTTCCCTCCTGTACCCCTGCCCCTACCGCTGCAAGCAAAGGCTTTGTCAATTTCTGTTCCATTGAACTCTTCTGGGCGTACCATTGTTGCTCGCCAGAACCCCAATGCATGTATATATATGTATATGTATTTGCACTATTGTCAAAACTATCTCACAGAAGAAGTGCATCTTAAGGGGGCAGAATATATGAGTTAAGCCAAGACAGAGTCAGACAAGCCTGGATTCCAACTACAGTCTCATTGGATTGGGGCGACGACAAATGTGAAGCATTGAGCAGATCATAAGTGTGCAATACAACAGAGAGCGCTATGCATTTATTCAAAAACTACTTAGGGCCAATTATGTGCTAGGCACCTGCCTGGGTGCCAGGAACATAGTGAAGCAGAAAAAGTCCCGGCCCTGGAGGAGCTGACATTCAGTGGGGAAACAGACAATCAACAATACAATATATGATGTAATGACACCTAGGGATCTATGCTCTGAGAATAAACAAAGCAGAATAAGAGTGGCAGTGGGAGGTGATAAGACACTGTCTTAGATAAAGGGGTCAAGGAAGACCTTCATGGCAAAGGACATCTGTGGAGGAGAGGGGGGGAGCTGTGTCAGTATCTGAGGGGAAAGTGTTCCAGGCAGAGGGAACAGGCAGTGCAAACCCCCTGAGGGGGGGTCAGAGTTAGATGCTGCGGGACAGTGAGGAGGCGAGTGTGGCCAGAGCATAAAAAGCAGGAAGCAAAATGGCAGGAGGTGACGTCAGCGAGAGAAGGGTACAATGATAGCATACAGGGCCTTGATGACTATTGTAAAGAAGCTGGATTTTAGTCTAAGCATGAAGAAAAGCCATTGTCAAGTTCTGAGCAGAGGAGTCACATGATCACATTTCAGGTTTTAACAGGATGCCTCTAGCTGCTGGGTCAGGGTTGGGGCAGAAGCAGGGAAACCAGCAAAACAGCTACTGCAGTCATTCAAGCGAGAATCTACAATAGAAAAGTCTACTAGGAAAAGTGAGTTTTGTGTCACTGGAAGTGTTCGTAGAGTGGCTGGACAACCTGGAAGGGAGACTGCAGACCAGATTCAGGCACTGGCTGGACCTCTGGACCAAGAGGAGGCACCAAAGCCCCACCATGATCCCCTGCCAGGCAGGTGAGAGATTTGGCAGAAAATTGGAAGGATGCCACCCTATATACATACTTTGCACGTTGCTGGCATCTGTGAAGTCACCATGCAGCATGCGCAGCAGACACCCCCAGGGAACTGTCATCACACCTCACCTAAAGCTAGGGTCGCAACCTCCATACATTCATGTGATTGATTATTCACACCTTGTCAGCCTCCTCAACTAGAATGTCAGCTCCGTGGAGGCAGCGGCCTTGTTCCCTGATGAATTCCAGGGCCAAGCACAGGGCCTGACACATAGGCACCCAGTAAGTTAAACAGTCAGTGAATCCTGAATGAGCTAATCTGTGCCTTAGCGACAACAAAAGGAAAAAAAAAAAAAACAAAAAACGAAAAGAAAAAAAAAAAAAAAGACCACAGGTTGTCATTGCAAAAAGGCACCACCAGATGGCGGTGTTTCTCAAAACAAAGGCCATCCGACCTTTTTCAGACAAAAAGAAATTCTAGTTTATCAGTGCAGCTGAAAAAGAGGGGGGTTGGAGGGAGGTTTTCAGGTTGCTCTTCTAGCTCTGGAGATCCAGATAACATCTTGCCGGCTGAGCCAGTTGGAGCCAGACTGAATTTCCCACAGTCCCCTTGGACTCTTCTGCCCCCACTCCAACAGGCCCAGACTCATCAGGAAATGCCTTTCTAGACAATCAAACTCCACCTTCTTCTCTGAACCTCACTGTCTGGCGCCCTGACCATCCATCCTCCTGTCTACCAGAAGGATTTTTCTGGAAAGCAGTTCTGGCCTGTCACCTGAAATCTTTTAGTGGTTCCTGTCTCTTATTGAAGTGGTTTCACAAAAGGTCTTTTGTGACAGTGCATCACAGAGACCCCCAAGGCTAGTAGCTAAAAATCTGAGTGTTCCTGCAATTCATCCACAGTCATCCCCTGCCTCCTCCTCCTGTTATGTCTCCACACACTTTTACTTTTGAGATCTCTGAAATGCAGGGTCCCCCACAGCTCAGAAGCGGGCAGCTGTCATTTCTGCCCTCCCAGCCACCTTACCCCCATCATCTGGTAACACCACCTAGGTTTTCTTTTGAGGAACCAACCCTCCCCACTCTTGGGCCACATAGTTTAGATAGAACTGACCTCACCTTCTTATTCCTGGAATACAGTATGTGACCCAGACATGGCCAGCTGATATATTCCTTCTCCCTAGACTCAGTGATTTACTGGATCTTGGATGAGCATGTAACCCAAACCAGGCCTATGAGAACGACCCCTAGGATTCTTGCTGGAACAACTAGGAAAGGATCTCTTATTCCACTCGGGACACCAGTTTGGAGCTTTTGGGTACTACCTTTTGTCAACACTTGGTGACAGCATGCCTGAGACTGAAGCTAACGCAAGCAGAGCAGAAAGGTGGAAAGAGACGGAGTCCTAATGACATCCCTGGAGTCCCTGGATCAAATTCTCTTCTTAGCTTAAGTAATATGAGCTGTGCCACAACCCTAATAGTACTGTCTAGTACAATGACTATATAAGAGCGTAAATGGGGACTCTGATCCTTACAGGGTTGAAGTGAGAATTAAGGAGCATAGAATACTTGAAAACATTCAATAAGGAACTTGGAAAATGTGAAGTAATGGTATCCATCCTTTAAGGCTTTCCTAGCTGCTCCAGCTCCACACACACACCCCCAACCCACCTCCACTCCCTCCTCACCAACCATTTCCAAGCCTCATCTCACTCTGACTGAGATTGTTTATTTCTTTCACATCCACCCTGTCTCCCAAAAATAGACTATAAGCTTGAGGGGGACCAGAGTCCAATCTGAGCTGAGCTGGGCACCTAGCAGGTAGCCAGCACTGTAATTGAACTGAATGTGGGCAACCTCAAGGGCTCCTGTTTTCATCTGTAGATTCAAGTGTCCCTCCTACGATATGCTTAAGTCCCTCCCACCCTCAAGCAACCATATGATCTTGTGATCTGGAGCCAGACTGCTGGGGTTCAAATCACAGATCTACTGCTTAATAGCTGGGCACCTCTGTGTCTCTGTGCCTCATCTGTAAACTGGGCATGATTACACTATCTATTCCATAGGGTTGTTATGGGCTTAAAGGAGACTATCTAAAGCACCTAGAACAGTACCTCTGTGGCACTTAATAAGTACTCAATGAAAGTTAGTGTTTATTTTTTTTTCTTTTTTAATTTTTTTAATGGAGCTACTGGGGATTGAACTCAGGATCTTGTGCATGCTAAGCTTGCACTCTACCACTGAGCTATACTCAACTCCCTCACCCTTTTTTTTTTTAGGTCATCCTCATCATCTCTCTTTACTACAGTCATTCCTGAAGTCAATCAACTTTATCACCTAAATCACTTATGAAAAAACACATACTCCTCTCTGTCTTTTGCCTCCTAACTGGTCCCCATGTCCCCTTCTGCTATGCTCCCCTGGGAGGTGGAAAAGTGAATTTTTCCCAGGCCTATTCAAAAGACCTCAGCTCCGCCAGGCCCAGACAAAGGGGCAGTACCCTGACCAACTGCCTTTTTGACGCCTTCCCAAAGGAGTAAATCAAAGAGGTGGGCAAAGCTTTGAGGCTGCTGGACCCACCAGCCCAAGCTCTTTATGCAAAGGGAAAAAACAAAAAACGCTTGGGAGCCGATAACATTGTGTGATTCTGTAGGAGTGGATCAGACTGTGGGAAAGTTATCACTGATCCCTCTGACTGTTCCCCTCTGGGACCCCCACTCCTGCACTGTCGCTGGGGATCCCTTGTGGCTGCAGCTTAACCAGGAACCTCAGCCCCACTCTGAATGACCCCATGGCTTGCACGTGTTCTCTGATGAGTACAAAAGTGTTCCCAAGACAGATCTTCCGAAAGTTTAATCTGGGGAAGTTTCATTTGCTGCAATTTGGGAAGCTCCCACTTTTCCCTCGAACCCCTCCATGCCCCACGCCCTTCCCCCAGCCAGGGCTGCCAGATAAATAAAGGACGCCTAGTTAGACTTGCTTTTCAGAAAACGCAAAATTTTAATATAACCATGGCTAATGCAATATTAAGGACATACGTGTACTTACTAGGTATAGGTTATTTTATCTGAAATTCAAGTTTAACCAGGATCTTGCATTTTTATTTGCTAAATCTGGCACCCTACCCCAGCCAATGCAACCCGTCCTCCCTGTTACCCCTTCATGCCGCGTGCGCCCTCCTTAGCGCGTGTGCCCCCTCCTCTCTCGCGCTGCTCAGCGCCCACATGTGCCTATTTCTGTTGGGTGCTTCACTCACGTGCCTGGCTTGCTCTCCTCTTCCGCAAGCCCTGCATCCTCACTCTGGCCCCCAAGTCCTGCGCGCGGTCCTTGCACACTGACCTCCCAAACAACCCTCTCCTCTCCATACATCCTCTCTCCATTCTGTCCCTACCGCTGCCGGGATTCGCGCGGCCGGATCCACCGCCCTCTCATCTTTCTCCGCCGGCACCTTCGCAACCCGCGCCTCCCCTGGTGTCCTGCGCGCCCGCGTCCCCGTTGCCCGTGCGCCTCTCCAGGTCCAGGACCCCCCTCCAAAGGCAACTTCTTTTCTTCTTTACTCCGTCGCACCCCGGTACCCCGCTCCCCTCGGTGAGGGGAGCTCCGCCAACGCCACACGCTCCCGGGGGCGCACCTGGGCAGGCCCGCGCGTAGTCGGGGCAGCAGTCCCGCCAGCGCTCCGCACGCCTGGTCGGCAGAAGCAGAGCCGGGGCCCGGCGGCCGGCGCAGGTCGGGTCGA